GGTTTAGGGGTTTAGGGTGTTTGGGGCTTTTAGGGCGTTCGGAGTGATATTTGGTGGCTTCAATGGAGAGCGTTCTGGCGCAGCGCTTGGTACAAGGTTTAGGGCTCGAGCTCGCATACTCTAGTGCAGGGCTTGTAGGGTCTAGGGCAAGGTTCCTGGAGGGCTTGGGGTGCTTGGGTTATGGATGAAACTTTACGGCTTAGGGTCTGCGATTTAGGATTGCGGCTTCGCTTGTCTACGGGCTCTAGAAGGGTTCTAAAGGGGTTAAGGATGGTTTAGGTTAGGGTTTGTGGCATCATGGAATATGGTGCGAATTGCAAGTCGTAGGGTATTCTCAAAGACAATCCTAAAAGCACGACAAGGGGTGACTTAATCCCAAAATATACTCAAACCTTTATAGTACCGAGGACCTGAATAAGTAAACTATGGGTTTGGGGTGTATGGCTGTATAACTATACTACGGAACCCTGAGGAAGCGTGTTGGCAGTACTGGCAACTATTATTCGGGCATCCCACATTACATCCTAAACCAACCGCGAAACCCCTAGACCTACACCCCTAAAAGCCCTTTTTGTACGCCGTGACCTGCGGCATTCCAAGGTTTCAGGGCCCGGCTGGCTGCAGCGACTGAGCCCCCGGATGGCTGCACCTGGATGGAAGGGGTTCAGTGTTTAGAGTTTTTGGCTTCGACAGTTTAGGGTTTAGGGGATTAGGGTTTTGGGGGGTTTCGGAGTTCAAGGGTACGGGTTTACGCCTTTGGGCTTGCGGTCGTTTAAGTTTTTAGGGTTAGAAGGGGGCGACGAAAATGTAGGCTGTCATCGACAGCAGCTCTTGGCTCCAAGTGTGCTTAAGAAATTCCACCGGGGTTTGGGGGTCGAGGGCTTGGGCAAACTTCAAGGCTTGGGGGCCTAGGGTTTCAAGGGCTGCAGGCGTTAAAACTACCAAGACCACAAAGACGACGGCTGGTAGAGTGCCCATGCTCCCCCTCTACCTTCACATGACAGCCTCAAGATGAGCTAAGTTTTCCTCTGCACTTCCTCACGCAAGGATCAACATTTGTCAGGATCGTGGGCAAGGATCCTGCACGGAGAATACCGCCGTGGTGCCGTAGAAGATGACCGGCCAGTAGGGGATGTTACGGTCCAGACCCAGGTCTTCCAGGCGTAGTTTAGGGTTTAGGGTTTAGGGTATTAGTGTCCATGAGTCACAACTGACAGTGCCGACAACGGCAAACCTGTTTTCGCCCCAAGCACGGTTCAAGCCCAAAGCCTAAACTGCAGCTTTCTCATGGGAGCACCCTGCGGCACTGCAAAAGTTGGGGCCTTGGCATGACTGATTCAGGGGTTGAAGTGATTTAGCTGAGGTTTAGGGTTTGGGGTTTCGGGTTTGGGGTTTTTGGGGTTTAGGGTTTAGGTGAAAGGCCTAGAGGCTGACAGGCAGATGAAAGCCCCGGAACCATAAAAGTTGAACCCATTAACTCCTAGCAAGGAGTGTTTGTTCCCGTAGGATCTCAACCCCTAAGCCCCATAAGCTGTGAACCTCTAAACCCCTAGCCCTGCAAACCCTGGGATTCTGTACTTTGAGCAAGGCTTTCGGATCTGGGAGATTCCAGGGGGTTCTGGACTGTGATTTCACAAAGAAGCGTATCTTTCGTTCAGCGAAACCTCCCAGTCTGTGGGTTTAGCGCTTTGGGAGAAAAGCTTAACCGCTCGGATTGCGCCACAAACTCTTTAAACAAAACCTAAATCCTACACCCTATAAACCTTACACCCTAAACCACAGCTCCTCCAGCCAAGCCGCTGTATGCCTCTCCTCCAGGATCTCCAACTGCGATCGTGGGCGGATGCAGACGGGATCGTCACACGGTTAGCTCCGGCAATGTAGGGGCCTTAATAATTGGGGGTATACTATACTATACTACCTGTCACAAGGAACCCCCAAAATAGTATAGGTCATTATTGAAGCCCCGTATATTATACGGGATTTGCAGTATGAGGCACAGACTGCATATGCAGGCCCTGTACTCCACTGCGTAGCAGGGTCGATGCTAGACACTCTGAACATTCTAATTTTATGATTCGGTACGGTACACGTGCCATGGAGTGGCGGAGCTGGCACAACAAAGAACGAGCCGTTAAAAGACAAATAAAACAACCGTCTCCTCTACATCCCACTGTGTCTTTTTCTATGAGGCCTCTGAAAAAAAACATGGCATGCATGGGCCGAAAGCGCAGGCTCGTCTCCCGAAGCCCCTGATGATTCGACAAGCCTTGAACTGAACCTATCACATCCTTGAAGGAAATGTAAGAATATGCAACTAAAGCTGAGAACCTGTAACCTCTAAGTAACTTTTAAGCGCCCTATACGAAACTGTACTGAACAATCCCCCTCCACCCCGGACTCCACCCCCCCTTTTCAACAAAAAACAAAAAAGTAAGTCCCCATGCGCACTGATTAAATGCTCGGGCGCCGAAGCTGCGTGCTTAAGACCTCCATCACCATCACCACCACCACCACCATCATTACGATAAGGAAGATGACGATTACTACTCCTACGACAACGACAACGTCGACGACGACGACCACCACCACCACCACCACCACCACCACTTCGACGATGACGATGACGACACCGACGATTCTTGACTTACTAGTGGTTGACGGACCAGTAGCGGCAAACAAGCGTCATCATCCTACCAATATGGACATCATCGTAATCGTGACCTTAATCATCAGCATAAACGCCTTCATCTCCACCATTTTCATGACCACAATCATCAACATCAACAGCTCCGCATTCGAAGAGCAAACATCAGAATGGCCATGGCGGTAATTTTCAAGCAATGCTGCCAGTTCACCAACCGAATAAATGCAGCTAACAACGGCAACAGCATTAGCAGCACTACGTGAGAGCACAAAGCCAAATGCGACACACGACAATCCAAGCGAGTACCCTGACCGACCAAGGCAACAGTAAACCAGCGCCGAACAATCATTGCAGCAAGAACAACAACCAGAAGAAATTGCCTTGCCACTCCTCAGAGCTCATACCCTGAAAACCCTACAAGTTTGTAGGATTCAGTCGCTTGCAGAAACCCTACAAGTCCTCATCCTGCAAGCCCAAAATCCCCTAATCGCTAGATCCTTGAACCCTGAATTCCCCTTGACCTCAATCCTAGCACCCTACATTCCCCTACACTTGAAATTTTACTTGAAATTCCCTAAAAACCCTAAACCCAAACCCTAAAACCCCTTTGCCTGTAACCCTAAACCCTAAACCCCCTAAACCCTAAACCCTAAACCCAAACCCAGAAACCCCTTCGCCTACCTTCCCAGCTCTCCGCTAAGAGAGTGAAGACAAGCTCCCAGCGGCTGGCGCTGCCGCCTCGAAGGAGAAAACTTTCGGGGCGTCGAGTCGTGTAGCACAGTTTAGGGTTTAGGGTTTAGGGCCCAGGGTTTAGGGTTTAGGGTTTAGGGTTTAGGGTTTAGGGTTGATATACTGGGTTGTAGCTTTGGGGCCCAGAAAAGTATTCATGAATAGGTACCTCTGTAGGAACCATATAGGGCAATTTTTTAAAGCTTCCCAAAGTGCCACCTGGTATAGTACAGTATACTATGGAAAATGACGCATAGCAAAATGTAACAGAAGACAACTTCATCGAGCTGCCGTACGGGGCGTCGGGGGGGGCTTTCTCGTTTCTTTTTGAGGCTTTGCTTGTTTTTTTTTTGTCTGGGTCTTGTGTTGACGGGCGATACGGGGCTCTACATGCTATGCTGAGGTACTGAATTGAAATCCGTTATGCTATGCTATATTGTACTATACTACACCAGACCGTTATGCTGTACTACTATACCACTATACTACTGTACTGCTGTACCACTGTGCTCCTATACTAGTCTACTGCTATACGACTAGGTTATCATACTACTATGCTACTATACTACTATACTGCCATACTACCAAACTATACTTCACTATACTGTACTATACTGTACGTACCATGCTGTACTATACTGTATTATACTGCATTACACTATACTAGACCAGCCTACACTATACTATACTCCATTACACTATACTACACTATACTATACGAAACCCATCCACCCTAAACCCTAAATCGTCTGCACCATCTCCGTGCCAAGGAGCATGCACCAAGTGCTGCCGCGCAGGCAGAATCCTGGAAATCTAGAACCGACCAAGACTTACAGGGAAGGAAAGGTTTAGGGCTCACGGTTTAGGTTAAGGGTTTAGGGGGTTTAGGGGTTTAGGGTGCAGGGTTAGGGCCTAGTCTTAGGGTAGGGTAACGAAGCTGACCATTCGCTCTGACACCGAGTTGTAACTGGGGGGCCCCCTGCATCATTACTGTTTAGGTACCTCTGTGCCTCTGTAGGAGTTCAAGGGCGACTCGAAATCACTATAACTAGAGGGTTTCGAACCGGGAAATTTCAACCCTGAGCCCTGACGAGGGACGTCCTAGATAGCCGCACCTTAAACCTAATCGCTGCAAAGGCTTACAGGTACCTAATGTCAAAAACCTCCATCAGCACAAACCTCGGAGTGTCAAACTCGAAACTCTGAATCACCAAACCCCCTAAAGTCCCGGACTGCAAGGGGAAGGGTCATACTAACTATTCCCTACCCGAAATAATAAGACCCATATATAATTATATATATATATATATTCAACCTCAAGGAACAAACATGACAAACTAGTTCATGCTTTCTAGGCTTCTACAGCACGTGGAACTTTATGGGAGAACCAGCCTCCACTTCCGGAGCATCGTCGCGACAAGCCAAGTTCAGCAATTCCAATGAGGCCTCCGCACGGGACGAAAGAGGACCGAAACGATCCCATATTCATAACCTAGTTCGGTTTAGTTTGGGTTTAGGGTTTCGGGTTAAGGGCTTTATGGACTACAGGGACCACTCTAAGAGAATTAAAAAGAACAACTTATCTGTGAGATGTCTGATGCTGATGCTGTCGCTTGGGCCCCTGCTCGGTGTAGTTGAAAACAAGTCCCAACCATCATAGAGTCATAGAAGATTCGCAGATTTACTGTATGGTTCATGGCTTGCTTTCGGATCTGCAGGTTTGGGATTTGGGCTCTAGCTTCTATAGGTATATAGCCCGGGATCACTGTCAGTCGCTCTATGATTTCTTGTGGAATTCCGCCTTCAAAGGCAGGACAACCCCTTGACCATGTAACGCCTCCCAGGCAAAGCCGTCTGCGCAGCTGCGAGAAACGTCGCGGAACCTGGTAGATAGACTGAAGGACTCTGGAATACTTGTGAGCAGTGCAGCTAGTCTTCGTGCTTGCGACTACGACTGTTACTACTACTCTTGCCAGGACTTGAACTGCCAGGCGATCATGGCATGCTGATGACCCTGGTGCAACCGGTCACAACACCACCTATAGTCTCCATTGTAGTGCCTCTTTAGGGATACCTGTAGAGAATCCTTAATCTATATATTTGGGTCAAACCCAAAAAAAAGGAACTACAATGCAGACTATAGGTAAACCCTAAACCCTAAAGGCCCTAAACCCTATAAGAGAACCAAGAATCCCACTAGAGACTGCTCATGGGTAGTTGTCAAAATTATGGTCCCTTTTTGGGGTACCCTAAATAATAGGTGCCGTATTATAATAAGGACCCCAAAAGGGACCATAATCTTGACAACCACCCTCATAGAGAGTTGACAGAGGCTACCTCCCCCGGGTCCTTAAGGAGCCGAGTCACATCAGGGCGTTCGGCGGGCAGAGGCTCTCCCAGGCCTGGGTTTAGGGGGGTTAGGGTTTAGGGCTTAGGGTTTAGGGCTTAGGGTTTAGGTACCCTAAGACTCCAAATAGCCCAAAGTAGGCAGTGTTTATAGACTAAAGACCCCAAAGTAGGTAGTATTTGTATACTTGGAGATATGGCTTGGCTTGAAGGGCTTAGGGGTTTCGTGCTTTAAACCTTAAAGCTTTGGTTTAAAGTTTAGGGTTTGAGTGTAGGGTTTATGGTTTAAGGTTCAGGGTTTGGGGTTTAGGGTTTGCATGGGGTTTGGGGTATCGAGTATCGGGTTTAGGGTACCTGCAGTCCCTTGTTGAAGAGATTTTCGAGGGATCAGGGTTCCATACGGGTTCTAGGTCGCGGGACGGACAAAAGCTTCAAGGCCTGCACACTATAATGACAAGACTGGACAACCTGCATCGAAAGGTTCCATGGCAATACATGCGCAGGTGCAGGGAGTCCGGGAGAATCGGATATTGTCATGTTACGACTGGTACTGCTAGCTTTCACTGGCGTATAAGCCTGTCCTCAGTCGGTAGCAAGATGTGTAATACATTGATTGTTACGTCTTCGAGTTGCAATAGCAGAGAACACTAACACTCTCGGTGCTTCTTCAATTACAACACAATGTCGTATTCCCAACACCGGTCGAAATTTGCCAGATGCGTTCAACCCTGAGCCCAGGCAGGAAAACCCTGCAGTGAGAGTCCTTCACTGAGCCCAGACAACAAAGCCCTGCCGCGAAAGTCCTTCAAGAAAACACAGTCAACCGGGAACCCCATAACCATCCACGAAGCCAATCTCCCGCGCAGCGGCATTGACGCGAGCATTGTCCCCGCCCACGCGTGGAACCGCCCCAACCCCGTCTCCCCGCGCCGCAACCCGCATCGCAGGCCGCACCCGTATCGCGACCCCGTCCACACACGCTCTGCATGCACGCCGCGCCGCACGCGTATCGCGACCCGCCCGCTGGAACCCTTCCAATCCCGCCCTGCATCGCACACCGGTGGACCCATTAGATGCCGAAGACTCTAAACGCTTATGCTCGCGCCGCACCCCGTATCGCGGCGCACGAGGTTGGGAAATCTAAAAGAGACCCAACCCCCGAGAGGGTTTTCGGAAAACCACAAGACCCGGTCGAATCTGAATCCCAAGATGCCGTGCCTCTTCGAATAGGTAGAAAGCCTGAAACCACGCTACACAGCTGCACAGTAGTGGAGGACTTCATATTACTATGTGACTATACTGACTATATAATATCGTACAATGTAATACATATATATATATATACACACTCTAGAAGATGCTTGGAAAAAGGCATGACTCCTCCCCGTTCATGGTTGCCTTTCTCTGATCTCCGGCATCGTGACTTTACAGGGTTTGGACTTGTGCGGGCCGTCTGGTCCAAGGGCTTTACGGTTTGTGCTTGCAACAATCTCGACATCCCGCCCCTCACCCTCCCCCGCTACACAACAATCAGAAGCTCGATTACCAAAAGAAACGCTTCCTCCAGTGCCACTGGAGCTTGAACATAATCCTGACATGCAGCTAAATGCAAACGTCAAGAACAGAATGACTCGCCACACTTCATATCAGAATCACAAGGCACATCGGCGTATGGGGGAACAACATGTCACGCTTATCTGTATGTCAATGTGCATGTGAACGTTGAACTTCCCGTACGCACTACCGTCCGGCCACGAACTTACCGGTTGAAAGCTTCGTCTGATGATGATCCACGGTTCTGTCAGCTGGTATCCTGGATGGGCTTAGGGTTTAGGGTTTAGGGTTTAGGGTTAGTTCATGGGTCGTCCTCTAACTTAAGGTCCGTCTCGGCCCCCAAAATAGCACGGCACCGTTGTAAAAAGGGTACCCAAGCCATCCGTGGAGCAAGGGATTTCGGGTTCAATGACGGGCCCTACTAAGCGGCGGCTACAGCCCTTCAAGCTGCATGTACTTGAATAAGTGCCTTCAAGCCTGCAACACCCTAAAGTCGGGGAGGTTCATATGAGAGTTTCAGAGAAAAGGTACCCTCTCGAGCGGTCCTTACAGCAAGGAGTGAGCTTCCCCAACGGCTCCATTGATTTCTTTTCTTTTTGTGCTTTGACATAATTTCTGTCTTTTGGCAACGCTGCTTCGTAAGGGATCCTTCAAACGAAAGCTGGCAGCACCGAAACAATGTGCAGACTTGTGTCACGTGATGCTTGCACGAGCCATCTTTCTGTCTCGAAGACCTTCGATGTGCAAACCCTAAACCCTAAACCCTGAACCCTAAACACTGTTAAATGCTCATAGCACCCGGTAATAACCCATGAACTCGAATAGAGAATAAGTCCCCTTTTAAAAGCCTAATTACAAACCCAATCAACAGCTCAGCGCCCTCAACCCTAAACCCCTAAACCCTAAACCCTAAACTCTAAACCCTAAACCACTAAACCCTAAAACCCTAAACCCTAAAACCCTAAACCCTAAAAACCTAAACCCTAAACCCCTAAGCTCTAAAACCCCTAAACCCCTAAACCTCTAAACCCTCAGGCCCTAAACCTAGGGAGTCCTACCTCCTGCCAGCGACCCGCTCTGCTGCAAGCAGCTGCGGCCTGGCTGCTGTCGGGAACAACCTATCGCAACAGGTCCTAATTACCTGTACAGGAGCCCTTGAAGGGGTTTAGGGTTTAGGGTTTAGGTTTTTTTAAAGGAACTTCTTTCCCTAAGGGCTCCTTTAAGGGCTTCTTTAAGGTTCCTTCAAGGGTTCCTTTGCGGCTTCCTTCAAGACTTGCGTTACGGGGGATACTTGCCCCACAATAGCAATTCCCATCATATAGGTACCTAAGGGCCTTAATCATTGGAATAAGGTTTTGGTGTGGTCGGACAAGAAGTCTGGGAGAAGGGTTTTGGTGTATATTTTACAATAATTACAATATTTTGCTATCACTACAACAAGGAACCCCAGAGTGGTATTGGTATTTTTTCAGGCTCCTTTTTGTACATCCTATGAGCTGCAGTCTCCCCAGTACTCAACATCTCCAAGAAAGCTTAAGGCAAAAATACCCTCGAAAGACTCCATGCTCCTTTAGGGTTTAGGGTTTAGGGGAAGATCTTTCCTAGCCGCCTTCACATGGGAGCCCTTGTTACTTCATTCATAGACATACCTACGCCGTAAAGGGGTCTTTCGGGCTACTACAGACGTACCAGAAAGGACTAGACAAGCCTTCCGTTCATGATTGCACCGCCCTGTCTCGGCCTTTTCAAACGAGACCACGGTGCGAGGCAGAGCATGGCTGTCCATCCTGGCGTCTGCTTCGAAATCCCAAGGGCGCCATGGCGGGGCAGAAGAAAAAGGAACAGTCTCCCCTTATAATCCCCAATACAAGTCTACCAAACCATACACCTAGGCCCTTTTTCGGTAGGTGCAGCCCCTATAGTCCGGACAGGTCTGCGGGTCCTTCTTTCATTGAACACTCCACACCTGACAAAATCTTAGAACTGAGACACTTCTGAAATCCTGTGTGGCTTGTTGTGGCTCACTTGAAGGCATCTTGAACTTATGCGCTGAGTTTGAAAATCCTTCACTTTTTAAGCTCTAAGACTTTAAGCCCTAAGTCCTAAACCCCAAACCCTTTAAGCCCTGTAAGCCCTCAGTCCTAAATCGCAACCCCCTGACTTCTACCCGCTCCTTGAAAGCAGCGCTTGTGCCAGTCGCCAGTGGCCCCGCCAACAGGAGGCCAGTGCCTCGTCTGAGCCGATTCCGCGGGACTTATAGGATTGTTTTTTGAGCTCCCTTTTCCTCCTGCAGGGGCTTATAGGATTTAGGGCCTAGGGTCTAGGATTTAATGTAGGATATTATAGGATTTAGGATTTAAAGTTTAGGGGTAACGGTTGAAAGTGCTTAGGGTTTTGGGTCTCAGGGCAACAGGATTTGCTGTGGGGCACGGTCTCGGACTCTTCTCAGCCACATGCCGCGTTCCATGGTATGGCCCCGGCACGAAGGTATCCAGAAACCTCTAAGCAGTGCACAAGTTCCAACCCTGATACTGTGCTTCTCAAGCCTATAGATGCTAAATCTTGTACCCTTCCCTTACATGCTTCACCCTGAACCGCAAACTCTACATGTTCCCTCCTATAGACTCCATTGTAGCTCCTTCTTAGGGTTACCTTATAGGATCCTAAATATAAGACCGGTTGATTAAACAAAACAAGGAACTGCACTGCAGACTTTAGGCTTAGCCCGAAGACGCCCATCGCCTGGTTGAAGAGCGCGCTGTCTTCGAGGAGCTCGCTGTGGAGCACCTCCTGGCAGGTAGCCAATGCGGCTTGCGTGCATGAGATCTAGGGCTAAGGGCTAAGAGGGCTACGGATTTCAAGCTCTAGGGCTTAAAGGCTTCAGTGCTCATGGGGCTTCTGTTGAGACTTCTTGGGTTCACGACTTCTTGGGTTGTGTCAGGTGGGATTCTACGGCCGCTGCCACGGTTACCGCCGCCGCCGCTTCAAAGCTACTGCGTTTCTTCTTCTCATGAACCCAAATCCTCAAACCTAAACCGATTCAATTCCATGTCTCTGGTCTGACTCCCGAAAGCTGCAGGATCTGACTCAAAGACCCAAGGTTTCGGGTTTGGGGCGAAAGCTGTGTGGGGTAGTAGAGGAATTCACTGGAGAGCTGGTGCACCAGCGTGAAGGAGAAAGCACGGCGCAACTAGTCTCAATGTCCTGTCGAGAAATCGGTGTGCGCGTGGCAGAGATGGCCTTTTTCTGCGACCAGCACTCAATCGAGAGTCCGTTTAAAAGCAGCCCATCTTGCCAGCGCACAGATTCAGCTTAAACACAACTTTTCCCCGGAGGGCTCTCTTTTTCCTGGAGGGGCATAGCAAGAGCATCACAGTGGATTTCGGGCTCAGGGTTTGAAAACCCTGCTTCCGAACCCATGGCTGCTACCCTGGGTGAAACCTGCGGCGAAGTACGGCTCTGTCGCCCGTCATGGTAGTAGTAGTAGTAGTAGTAGTAGTAGTAGTAGCAGTAGTAGTAGTAGTAGTAGTAGTAGTAGTAGTTAGTAGTAGTAGTAGTAGTAGTAGTAGTAGTAGTAGTAGTACGGCATCCCCCCCGGTGCGACG